AACAGTTCTCACACCTGGGGTACAAGGAGGCCGAGGAGCAGTGGAAGCAGTTTGAGCAGGAGCAATAGGAAGGGGGCATCCAGCAGGGCCCCACCGCCACTCCCAAACACATGCACTTCTGCTCCGACGAGGACGAAGAGGGTGAGATGGAGTGGAAGGGGGAGGGGGATGTGAGCAACAGGGGGTATCAATCTTTAGCTCAAACCCCCCATCCATTGCTTCCGCAAAACTCAAGTCGGGCAGTAGTTCACGCCTGTGCGATCATCTAGACCATTTCAGAGACACACTTGAGAGCACAAAAGAAAAGAAATCGTCGTGAAATGAAAGTGTTACATTTGACCGGGTGTCAGGATTCTAAAATGATCAAACCCATCTGACGATGACACATGTTTCAAACATCTGCTAACGGATCAAAAAAAAACACAAGTAGTATAGCCAAAAACGAAGTGCGAATACTTTCAAGCAGAGCGGTGAAAAAATAACTGGCAAGTCGTGTTCCGCAGTACACAAACAGACTTCGAGATCAATCTGTTCATGAAATAAAAGTGAAGTATCGTCGAACATCGTAAGCGAAAGCGTGGGACTACTTTAAAAGGTTAAACGTCTGCGTGTACATCTCACATATTCTTACTTTTAGACTGCTCAGTTTCTCGAAACTTATTTGTTGCCATATAATATTTCTAGTATCGTTTTTTTTGCTGGTGAAGTTTCCTTTTAGTCGCGAAATACACATGTTCAAATACACTTTTTCGAAAAAAATGTGTACACGCAAAAATTTGTACTTTTCTGCCTATAAAGAAGTCAGTGATGAATTTTTCATTTAATTGAAAGAGTAATGCATGTCATTTTTGAGCAAAACCAAACATGAAACTTTCAAAGCTTTTCTTTCAAAGATTTTTTTCAGAGTAAAAGAGTAAAGTTCTCCTCTGTATAAACGTAACAACTTTTATTTATAATGAGAGTAAATTATGAAATACTATCTCATACAAATTAGCCAAAATTGCTGAGATTTCCTACATCTCAACCCACAGTTTTTTCCTTTGGAAAATCTTTTGCTAATCACTTTTTTATTTTGTTCTTAAACAAAAAGTTGTAACTTTTGTTTGCGGAAAAAATAATAGTCCTGCATTTTTCAAATTTAGTAAGTTATTTATCACAGAGGTTTCAGATAATTTCAGTAGATTTAGATTCATATGAGTTTATATAAAGATTTTCGAAAATAGAAAGTATGATTAGTACTATAACCAAAAGTTACTTATCAACATTGATTCAACTAATCTGTCGATGATCATCTTTGAAATCATTTGGCATTTTTTTTAAATAAATCAATTGTTTTGGAAGTCTTTGGGTGTTTTTTTCGAATATTCAGCTGACTACAAAACCTTCAACCCTACATCTCAACCCACAGTTTTTTCCTTTGGAAAATCTTTTGCTAATCACTTTTTTATTTTGTTCTTAAACAAAAAGTTGTAACTTTTGTTTGCGGAAAAAATAATAGTCCTGCATTTTTCAAATTTAGTAAGTTATTTATCACAGAGGTTTCAGATAATTTCAGTAGATTTAGATTCATATGAGTTTATATAAAGATTTTCGAATATAGAAAGTATGATTAGTACTATAACCAAAAGTTACTTATCAACATTGATTCAACTAATCTGTCGATGATCATCTTTGAAATCATTTGGCATTTTTTTTAAATAAATCAATTGTTTTGGAAGTCTTTGGGTGTTTTTTTTTTCGAATATTCAGCTGACTACAAAACCTTCAAGCTCGCAGCGTATAAATTTATATGTCTTTTTTGCTAAACATGTTCAAAAATCAAAATGCTTAAAATTATGCTACGTACAAAAAATAATCACAAGCAAAAACACCAATAAATTGTCGTCTATTCTGAACACATACTTGCTTTTGTTCAACTGATCAAAAGTTTGGATTATTTAGCGTTTGCTGACTTACACTTATATCGTTGCGAATACAATAATTATCAAAAAACAATTTATATGTTTCATAGGTCAACTCAACGTTTTTCATCTAGATTTTTTGCTAATTTTACCGTGAATAAAAGTAGATTTACGATTCTCGTTGCTTAATTCCGATCCTTTGAAAACTTGAATTCCTGAAACCGATTGCTTACTACATCGATCCTTGAAATACAGGTGAAATTTAACAGGTGAAATATTCTAATTATTATTTTTTATTAATATTTATAAAACCACGACAGTTTTCCGTGGTAATTAGTCTTAAATTCAGTTAATAGGGACGTTTAGGCTAGGCGATGCTTTTTGGAAAAAGAAATTTTTGTTTGAACCATGAAAGACAGTTTTTAAAAATTGAAAACACTTGCAAATACATCACGTGAACAGTAAAGATTTTCACTATAGCACAATTTAACCAGACAGAACGAATAAAATTTAATGTTTTGCACGCTTTTTTCTTCCAATGGGTTGAATGTAGACAAAAAAAATGATAAAAAATTATTTATTCGTTTTGTTCAGTTAATCTAATTAAAACACTGTTATTCAAGGCGAAGTACTTACTCCGTGGCTAAGAAGTCAATCCTGATAGAACTAAGGCAAGTTTAATGAAATAATCCTCGCATTGCAAAGACTAAAACGGTACAATTTTGAGTATCACATTGCCTGGGGTAAACATTTTCGTTGCATTTGAAAATCAAGATTTTTTTTCATATCAACAAAACTAGGTCAGCAGGAAAACTGACATGCATACAGATTGATTATCAGGGGCACAGTCTATTTGTCGTACAGTTAATTTTATTTTAGCTGTCTTGATTTTATTTTCTAGACGAGTCAGAACTATTGTAACTACTGATCAGATTTGATGAATGCAGAGCAGACATATTTAGTCCTGCAGACATATTTAGACTTCCTAACCAAAACTTGAGAAATTTATTTTTAAGAATGAAATTGATTTCAAATTTGAACGTTTTTCTCGACCTCGTATTGTTTTTCAACAATTAACAATTACGCAGATTAAGAAAGACCAAAATGATCATCTCGCAATAAGTTTTGAGAGCCATTTTACTTCTTAGACGCGTTTTTCTCGGTCAAATTTGTCTCTGTCGCATTTTTAAAATAAATATTCGGGTTTTAAATTTATTCTTATATATATATATATATATATATATATATATAAATATATATATACTGTACATATATATATATATATATATATATATATATATATATATATATATATATATATTTATATGAATATATAGTTTTATAAAAATTAATATTTATACTGTAGTGTGTGTATGTGTGTGTGTGTGTGTGTCTGCATGTGTTCCTTTGTAAGAAGGTGCGGTTTGATTTCTATGCAAAAAAGCCTTTCATGAAATTTCGTTGATGGAAATCACGACAAAAGCGCGTATCACAACCTTTTTTTTATCAAAGTTGTATCACAATTATTTCTACAAACAAAAATCCAAACTCCCTAAATTTGACTTACTTGTTAGTGTTTTCCTAATAATTACTCCAAACTCGAGGGATACTGTTTTCATTTACTATTTTAGTCGCGCAACTAATTTTATAATCAAATCACCAGCTTACAAAAAAGTTTTTGCAGGCATTTTTTGTTAGTTTTTGACTACAAGGTAGTGAAGGCACAGTTTTTCACACGGAATAATGAAGATTTTCTATGGTGTAAGAATCAGTTTGTTGATTTTCTGTTAAATTTAGCGTGGAACTCATACAATTAATGTTCATGATTTTTTTGATGTATTCCAATACATAGTTTAATCTGCAATTTTGAAGCCATTTAGCGTATTGGTTTTCCTAACAGTAGTTTGGGAAAACTACTGGTTTTTTATCACGAAAAATCTCAAATTTATAGCAAACGCAAGAAAAAACTTTTCAATATTTTGGGAAAATTCTTGTCATACTACTTAAGTAATGGAAAAAAAGTAATAGTCGTGCTATTTTTTTCCGCAAGTATTTTGTTTTATGGATTAAAATGAAATGTATGACGTATGACAAGCGCTTTTTCTGTAATTGAAAACCGTATGAATAAATTTTTTTCTCAACTTGGTCGTTTTGATAAGTCTTCCTTCCACTAGTGAAGTTTGCCTGTGTCAATAATTTGTTTTCAACACCTTGCTGATAATTTAGTTAAATAGCAAGGAAGATAGGCGATACGCTATAAAAAAAACTTTTGTTAATAGGATCGAAAACTAGCTAACAATTTTTCTTGTTCAAACTAGGACGGACTTTTGAAATCTATAATCCGCAGTTATCATTACGAGGCCAACTTGTGCATTTTGTGCATTGTAACCGGATCTGCAACAAGGACGCTCCCTTTGTTCTTCCTTTGTTCTTTAATTTCCTGTAATCGTTCCTGCAAAATTTTAAAACGTTTAAAGGCTTGTCTCTGGAATCCAGGAACATACAGACACAAAATTGTGAGCTCATCCAGTGCAAAGTTTGGCCTCGCAAAAATGGAGCTTTGAAGCTCCATGTTGTGGTTTTTATTCGAAACTTGACCCATTGATGAATTTTTTGTTGACTACTCGCAATCGTATTACTTTTTATAATAGTGTTTTTTTTTGCTGATAACGGCTGTGTACAGCCGTTTTATCCTAAGCTAAACACTGAGCAAAACTTTTCGTGAAAAGCATATTTCAAAAAGTTGAAATTCGTAATGATTTATGCTGGCCGGCAAATAAGACGAAAACTGTTGGTATTAGAACCGCTTTCGTTGGAACTTCCAAACGCTACACACAATTTCCCCAATTGTTTTTCTGCTGAGAAACATCAGTCGCTTAATTTCGAACTGTTAATTTTGCATGTACTATTTCTATTTTCCATCTTGAAATCATATCAATTTAATGACAAGTCGCCTTAATGCCTTGTCATCTTTTTTAACACGATGACTATTTTTAACCATTTTAAATGTTCACAAGTTTAAAATAGTTTGATTTTTCTTTAGCAATTTTGTATGAACATGTTTTCAAATTTGCGACTGCATATGCAAAGAGTTGTAAGTAGAACGCATATTTTTCTTTTCTGGCTGAATACTTCATTAAAAGCACTCTTCTCGCAAAAGGCGAACTCTGTTGCCGTAAAATAACAATCATATTCTTTGCTTACCAAGATTTTGCACCCCATATCTCAGTTTGGGGATTAAGAAGCAGGAGAGGTTTGAGAGACAGAAGGCGGAGGAGAGAAGGAAGTTGGAGTTGAGATTGGCCGAGGCGGAGGAGAATTTGAGACAGCAGCAGAGTGTGGCAGCTGCAAACGCACTGCAGATCAGAGACAAAGACAGGAAATGGCTAACCAAGGTATGAACAGATGAGTCTTTAGTTTTATTTTAATTGTCAAGTCGTTCTTCTCAATTAGATTACAGACAACTTGAGCTCATAATGTGGCATGAAACTAATTAAGTCAATTCTGTCATCGGCACAGATTCATCCGGAGGATATTATTCGCGAATCCTATTTTCTTCATTTATCAGTTCCATTTTTCAACCATTTATTTCAATTATTGTCATGAGGATAAGGCTATATCAAGAAACTTTTTCTTTGAAGAAAACAGCTTTCAAATGAATAAAAAACAACCAGATTGATTAGGATGCCAAATGATCAAATGAGAAAAGTCAATTTCCAATATAAGTAACGAATGAAACTGGATTGTAATGAGTGGAGGTTTATGTGGAAAATTGGTGCTGTTTCAGCTCAGTGGAAGAAGACTGCGGAGACAATGCTGAGAGGATCAAAAGGGAAGAGCATAGGGGATACAGCAGTGGAGATCAGAGATGTCTTATCGAAAATAGTCCCTGAGAGCTTTTGGTTCATCACTGTTTCTGCAAATAGCAGTTTCTTTTTTACCAATGAATTTAGTGTCAAGTGTAAAGATGGAGTTGGTGAGACAGCAGAGTGGACAATGAACAAGACAGAGTACCCCTACAACATGCACATCTACACTCTCCGTAACACTGACTACAACAGTCGCAAAGATGCAACTGATGAGGAGAGGGCGAAGGCAGAGAGTGTGAGTAAGAGTGTGTTGTTTGATATGGAGAGTACATGGAGAGAGGTTCTGGGATTTGGGAGTATGACGTCACAAAAGATGAGGGATGAGGTCATCGCCCGTCTGGACAGAAATAGACTCAAGTGGATGTATGTTAGTGTGGGGAGAGGAGATGTAATTTCGGCTGATAGTTGTAATCTGAGTCGCCATGTTCATACACGTGGCTACATCTACAGTATTTGCATCTACCTAGGAAACTAAATCTATACCACCACTGGACTTCAACTTCATTCCAAGTGACACTCTAGTACACACTCCATTCTACCATCAATCTTCACTCATCCCACGCATCTGCCTATACTCGAGTGCTATGTAATTTTCTGATGTGATTCCACTTTATATCTACTCTAGTTTAGCTAATGACTTATCTAATTAATCTAATTGGTCTTTTTTGTCTGACCCTCACACTTTCATTCTCTACGGCGGAGAGAATGCTTTGTCAATTTTTATTAATTTAACTTTAGATTATTTCACTTTTATCCTTTCATTTTTTTAACTGTATAAAGTAGAATTAGCTGCAACAAAGTAACAATTTATGATTTTCCTTATTGTTTTTTATTTTATTGTACTAGATCAGAACAGAACATGATTATTTCTCACTTACGTATCGCCATCAGCTGAACCTAGACATTAAACGAAACGCACTTTTCATCTGTTATGTTTCCGTCTCTTGCCGAAAATCTTACCTTTGTTCACCAATTAGGCATTCAATTCTTCAGTATTTCGTCTGATTGTCCAAATGACAACAAATTGATCAAACTGAAATAACATATTTTCGTTATTGCAGTGACCCGTGTTGACCTCCATAAACCAAAACAGTTTATCATACAATTCCATACATCAAGTGTGTGGAAAAATACTTGTCATACATTTTCACACAATTTCGAAAAGTGGTTGAAAAAAGATATAAACTAACTTCTATGGCTGTTTGCTTCTAAAAGAACAACGTGGTCATAAAAATCCGGGTTTTTGCATTTTGAAAAAAAAAGTTTATCATACAATTTCCAAATATAGAATATCTGTGCCTAGCATTTTTTTGATGGCGACACAAAAACTTTTTCCAAGTAATTTTGAAATTGCCCCAATTTTCTTTGTATTTTTTTAACCGCAAATTGAATTTTGTACGAAAATCAACATTTTTCAAAAAAACTTTTGCGCTCAGAACTTTTTTGGGTGCGTAACGTAGTCTTGGATACACTAATACTGGATTTTTTCCCTTCTCGCTTAATAATTTTTTCCCTCAAAATTGCTGAAAACTCTTGTTTCTTTTGTATGTCGTGTTTATGTATTCTTTGATCAATGTCTGATAATCATCGTTGAAAAATGTTGCCAAAAATTAAAATTTTCTTACATTGGTTATATGATTCGTGAAAGACACCTCTAAGGCAATTCAGATCGTTTTATATCCATTGGAGTAGTATATGAGTGAGGCGATCAGGAGGGGGGGTTGATTGCTGACCCCCATGTATTAACATAGGCTATAGAGTATCCGGTGAGCAACCTACTAATTAAGATAGGGAATAGATTTCCCTATGTATTAAGATAGGGATTAAGTTTCCTATGTATTAAGATGGCAAGGTTTGAGATGGTAAGTTTCAGAAAAGTTTTCGGCGCCCGAAATTTTTGGGGCTCGATTTTGCCGATACTTGCGTTTCTTAGCTTACTCCTACAATTTAGATGTTTCGATTACTGTTTTATATGTTTGAAAATATGAGAAAACTTTCTAAAGCTATACTAGAACCTACTGAAACTTCAAAAAAATCAAATTTTTGGCAAAAAAAATTGCAAAAAAATAAAGTATTTGGAAAAAAATTGCAGAATTCTTAGGTTTTGGTTAAATTTTTTGTCGCATCTGATCTAGTTTTAAAATATACTTAGACAATGATACAAAAATTTGAAAAAAAAGTTAATAATAGATGACTTCTTATTGAAACTTCCGGAAAATAGTGAAATTAATTGTAATTTTTGGGAGAGTGAAGTAAAATTAATCAAAACTATCCCTTTTCAACTTTTTATTTGTGTAACTAATTTGTTTTTGTGTTCATTTCAGGGAGAATTTAAGTAGGAATCTCAAATCAATTGAGCACACAGAGCAACATTTAGTGAAATTTCTACATCAAACTCCATGATTCAACTCCTCAGTTTTTTCTCAATGAGTAACCCAAATTTGTACAAAAATTACAAAGGTTGAGAGGATCAAAAGGGAAGGGCACAGAGGAAACAGCACAGGAGATCAGAGAAGTCGTAGAGAATGCAAATTCAGGGAGAATTTGGTTCATCGCTGTTTTTACAAATAGCAGTTTGGTTACCTTTGACTTTTGTGTCAAGTGTAAAGATGGAGTTGGTGAGACAGCGGAGTGGATGAGCAAGACAGACTACCCCTACAGCATGCACTTCTACACTCTCCGCACGTCATACTACAACAGTCACATAGACGCAACTGATGAGGAGAGGGCGAAGGCAGAGAGTGTGAGTTAGAGTGTGTTGTTTGACATGGAGAGTGCATGGAGGGAGATGTTGGGATTTGGGGGTATGACGTCACAGAAGGTGAGGGATGAAGACATCGCTCGTCTGGACAGAAATGGACTCAAAAGGATGTCTGTTAGAGTGGGGAAAGTAGATGGATATTGCGCTGATAATTGTATTCTGAGTCGCCGTGTTCGTACAAGTGGCTTCATCTAATATATTTGCATCTACCTATGAGACTAAACCTATACCGTCACTGGATTTCAATCTCATTCCATTGGTTAATCTAGCACACACTCCACTCTACCATCAATCTTCACTCCTTCCACGCATCTGTCTCTACTCGAGTGCTATGTTATATTCCCTACAGTTTTTTATTTAGTTGTCCTAGATCAGAACAGATCATGATTATCTCTCATTTACATATTGCCATCAGATGAACCTAAAAAATAGTGGATGTCTTTTTTTGAAATTGTATGAAAACTGTATGACAAGCATTTTTCCGAACACTTGATGTATGTAATTGTATTATAAGCGTTTTCGGTGTATGGAGGTCAATCCGGAGGTCAATCGTTTGGTCAATTTCATGTAATTTGGACAATCAGACGAAATAGAATTGAATGCGGCTCCTCGGCTGTAAAGTACGCTTAACTAGTGAACAAAAGCAAGGTTTTCGGTAAGAGGCTACAACAACGCACTTTTCATCTGTTATGTTTCCGTCTCTTACTGAAAACCTTGCCTTTGTTCACCAAATAAGCGCACTTCACAGCCGAGGAATTGCATTAAATTCTATTTCGTCTGATTGTCCAAATGACATCAAATGGATCAACCTGAAATACCATATTTTCATTATTGCAGTGAGCTCAGCTACAGGTGACATGATACATAATCATTTGATCTTTCCTACAGCGTACCTTTGAGTTATCCCACAGACCTCCATTTCTGAAAATTGTTTCAAAATTTAATCTAAACAGAACAAAAGTTGATTTTTAGTTTTAAAATAGCAAATTTACTACTCTCCAAAAGGTTCGAATTTTATAATAATATCATAGAAAGAACAATTATATGGCCTGAATCGATTGTTTTTTCTGTAATTGATGGGGGTAGGGTGCGGAAGATGAAGGGTTGTGGGGGTTTCAATAACATTACTTACTCTCCCTTGTAGAAAACACAGTGTGATTTTGATTTTAGGTCGACCAATTCTCTGATCGGCTCATATTTAGTTTTCAAAACAAACTTCAACCTATAGCAAATCTTTAATTAAAAGCATTTTGTAGCCAATTGAACATCATTAATAATAACGCCCTTCATTGTGTTCAGAATTATATTTTGACGCAGTAGAGTATATCACACTAACTGGTTTTCTTATCGAATGTTGATTTAATGACCAGCTTTTAAAAGCTATAATGAAAATTATTCAATAGAGAATTTTTGGTGGAGGTTGTTGAGTCCAACCATTGGTGTCATCCAGTTACTCTGGCTGAGCTGAAGAACGTTTGCGAGGTGAGCTTTCATCCTTCCGAACATTTGGTTCAGTTTAGAAATTAATGGCCAAAACATAAAATTCATTAGTTTGCAAAGTCGGCAGAAGCTTTGTCACTTCAAGCAGCGTGATAATTCCCACATTTAGCATGATGATGACCTTCTCTTTGCTCCTTGAAGTAAGTTCTTTTACATTAGGAGAGGAATCATAAGGGTAGTCGATGAAAATGTGAGAATATTTTCACAGTGACTGTATTCGCTTCTGGTAACAATTATTTCCTCTCATACAAAACTTACCCCCATAGCCTGCAGTGATGACAAGTTTTTTGAAAAAATTTTCAACGAATTGAAACATGTGCAGAGATAGTGTCTCCTTCGGTTAATTATACTGATTTTTTCAGTTAGTGACCCAGTTGTTTTCAATCACAACTCTCCATCAGAAAAAAAGTATGTAAGTTTTCACATTTTTGCCAACGATGCATGCATGGGTTTGCACGAATTGATGATATAAAAAATTTTAAACACTTTTTAGTTTTTCTGTTTATGTCTCGGTACGTTTTTGTATATAATGAATTGTCAAAGATATCTACAAGTATTTTGTTTTGAGTAATTTTGTTTTGACAAACTTTTTTTTTCAAAATATGTAACAACACACATCTTCTATTGATTTACAGTAAAGGCTCTTTAGGATTGTAGGTCTGATTCACAAAATTTCAAAATAGCGTCTCTAAAAAATTTGCTTGTCGCGAAGTAACAAGTGCAATCCATCATTTCATGCGTATGTAGCAAATTCCACAGAAGACTTCATAGTCAGACGCAAACAATGAATCATCAACTCCAGTACAAGTCGTGGTAATCAACAAGTGAACCTCCCTTCAGAGCAGTGAATAATTTTAAAGTGAAATTATTCGCTTATAGTAAAAAAGATTTCCCCTCCTGTCAGACTTTCCGACATTGCCTGTGGCGGAGACGAGTTACAGTAGCTCAGTTTTTCTAATCTGTTGATATTCATCTGATGTTCTTTTCGAATTCCTTTTTAGTTTACAGTTCTTTCTCTGGTGGTTGTTTAAACGTTTGTTTTTACGCTCATTCACGTTCTGATTTGTATCATTAAGGCATCATGAAAACGTCGTTTTTCCTTTTAGTTTTGATCTTTCTCAAGCAGATGTCGATGGAGGCTGAATGGCGAAGCTCTTTTACGGAGAAGCTTTTCACGGCGAAGCTGTTTACCGCGAAGCTCTTTTTCAGTTTTTTGATCCGCTGCCATGAGCAGAGTAAAAAAATGATTGATGGTGTGTTCCGTTAGCTTCCTGCAGCTCTCTCGAAACATAGAGTCAACAACTTCATGCTGAAAAAATTCTTGTTTTTTTTTGTAGTTTCCCGCATTAACTTTTACGTCAGTGAGAATATCAATCATTTCACTTAACTCAAAACCCTCAACAGCCTTTACACCATGAGGGAATCTTTTTCTGTCTGATTTTGCATCTTCAGTTAAAAAGGTTTTGCTTTCTTCCCCAATTTTGTGATCGCATCGGCCCATTTTTTTTTGATGAAGATGCTTTAGTTTGCGCCACAGTTGAGGTAATCTCAGCTCTATGCCAAATCGCTGTGACTGCTTGTTCAGCAGATATTGTTTCTGGTTTTCCACAGAAATAACGAAGATGGCAGAAGAAAAATGACTATATATGTAATTTGCTAGCTTAATGAGTTCTCGTGCTACCGCCGACAAACCATTGAACGACTAGAAACATTTACTGCCGACCATATCAGGACGCGGTGCAGGAGGAAATATATGATCACTTTGCGAAGTCACCTCAAGGTTATCTAAGAGCTTTGTCTTTTCCCACACTTCGGACAAAGGCAATAATTGCAGTAGAAGGATGTTCGGGCAGTCTTGAAGTTCAGTAAGTTATGCAGAAATATTCCATAAACTTTCTGATGATTGAAGGATATTTTGATTCAGCGAATCAAAAACGAAAAGTGTTTGCGTGTGTGAAAAATAAGGTCCTTAAATTTCAAGGCACTTAGAACAGGTCACCAATTTTTTCGTTCCAATATAAAATTGTTCTCATTTATATCACCCTATTGTCGTTTCTAACGTAAATTTGTTCTTAATTTTGCCTAATTCATTCACGAATTTGGTTTTGAACATCGGTAAAATTTTTGAAAATGATGAGAAGACCTTCTGTTCACCAGAGAATCTGCAAATATCATCTTTTCGACTCCGGGGAAGTTGTGGACTTTGAATCAATGAGCAGCGAGTAGGTCACCCTTTTGGTAGAATTTGGCATCATCAAGTCGCGAAAAATGTCAAAACTTGCAACCAAATTTTGAAAATCAACTTCCCAGTGCCATTTTCAACAACAGATTTAACGATGTAAGAAACCGCTCAAAGTTGTCTGGAACATCCAAATGTTTCTAAAAGCCAAAAAACAATACAGCAGTTGTTTTTCACATTTTTCAGATTTAAGTTGAATACAAATGCATTTCATATATTTTTAGTGGGCAGTTTTTTTGAGCAACTGACAAACAAATGAAAAAAAAACTTAAGGTGAAATGCAAAAAGTGTTATTGAAATCTGCTTGAATTAAGAATCAAAACCAAATACCAAAATATGAGTATAAATTGATTTAAAATTGTTTGAAATTGATTTTAAATTCTAATTTTTGTATCAAAATAAATTGATTTTAAACCACTCAAATTAAACTTTATTCCAAAAATCACTCCAAAAAATAAGTGCAAAGTTGCAAACCACATCGATTCAAACAGTTCGTAGTGATATATATTTTTAAAATCTTTAAGCACAGACCGTAAAAAGAAAAATAAAATTGAATAGAGAATTTTCAAGAGAGTCAAAGTTTTCAAGAATCCCTATCGACGAATAGCATCGAAAAAACCACCAGAGGAGCAACGGCAGCCAAGTTGACAAGACACAAAATTTGGAGCAACTCAAACGCTCTCAATCATCTCATAGCAAGCAGATACTACAATGAAGCAAACACAATCGTAAAAAATTGCAGAACTTTTGATGAAACAGGAGTAGCAAGACTTGATCAACAGAAAATCAACATCCGCAAAAAAACAGGACGAACAATCAAACTTTAGTTGTAAAAGTAATTCAACCTTTAACAGGAACTGATCACATATACAAGAACTGATCATTGCATTGACTCACAGCACTTGACGCGAGTGAACTCAGTTGAAATGGGAGAAAAAAATTACGAACTGAAAAACTTTAAGAAATTTTTAGCCGGAAGACCAATCTATTAATTATGATGTAAATAACCTAATCAATAGTTGAAGGTATACTACGCTTGACGTAGTCACAGAAGATGCTGATTTAGCTCCCAATTACTTGTCATTATCCAGCATCTCGTTGAAAGCGACTTCAAAAAAGTTTTTTGTTTGATAATTATGAAACAATATTTATTTTTGACGGCAGTCCCAATGAGTTCGTTTTTTTTTGCGATGGTTAGGGTTTTGTAACAATCAGTTTTCTCTCAAACAACAATGAGTAGGCGGGGTCAAAC